TGACATTGCACTCCGTTTGGCTTTGGAGAATTAACATTGGACTTGCCGAGATAATTATCTTCTTTTGTTTATATATATGGTAATTGAGTACTGAATAACATCACATGCATATAGGTGCACGAATTAAAAGATATAGATTTTTACTTTCCTATATAAATCCGACATGTATTCAAATTTACTAATTACTTAGGGTTGTAAATAATGCTCTTAGGATATTGAAGGATAATGCTTCCCTTAGGATATGCTCAATATTCACATTTACTAGTTACAACCCTAAGAGCATTATCCTTCAATATCCTTCAATAATTTGAAGGGTTGTATACAATTTTCACTATTGATAAAGAAAAAAGGAAGGGAAAAAACAATATGTACTCAATTATTTTTGTACAAACCTTTGACATAAAAAAAAAATTAAAAAATTAAAAAATAAAAAAAATTAAAAAAAAACTGTTTTTGTACAAACCACATATTCAACCTAAGAGCCTAGAAATAATGCTTCCCTTAACACGTAATGTATATACAATCCTTGGAAATGGCCTGAGATGGTGATTTTGTACGTATATACATCGTGTATTCAATAGTTCAACTCCTCCTATTTGATCTTGACAAACTTGTACGAAAATCGCTCAATCTGAGATTTTAGCATGTCTCCAAAATTAGAGAGAGGGGACGACCCTTTTTCAAGTGAGTTCGGTCTCATCCATGTCATTCTTGACTTGAAAATCTATTGGATTTTCACCCACTAATTCTCTCTTCATCGACTCGATCAAATCCATGTCTACTACTTCTTTGCCTGAAATATCCCTGACGTAGAAGGCGTTTACGGCCTTTTTTCCTTGCGTTGCTACATCTGCTCGAACAACCGCAAGTCCATTCTCCCGTAGAACCCTAGTTATATCCGAGAGCAACCCTATCCTATTGTCTGCGCATAGTTCTAGCCGAACACCCTGTTAAGTTATATACATAGAAATCAGTGCTGCTTCTAATCAGTATTACTAGCTACTATCACATAGCGCATATATATATATATATATATATATCATCTCTTATCTCGTAAATGCGAGCTCCGTACTCACCTCACAAACCCGACGCTCAATAGCAGCCTCTAAGCATTTTATTACTCTTTCCTTCTCACTTTCAGTACACAGGGCATCCCCATCGATGTGTCGAATAAAATACTCCTATACAAAGAACATTCGTTAGTTAATTAGTCTCCATTAACATACTACATTGTGGTCAATTTACAAGTAAAAGTACGAATTCAAGTGCATAGGGTATACGAAACTATTTGAACAACATATATCGACCACAATATTGCTGATCACTTTTCTAATTGAAGTCAGACTCAACTTCTACTAATTAGGTTGGCTGTGAGGAACGCGGTTATTAGTAAATGTGGTACAAATAGCAACACTTGCTTGTAGTGCAGGAATCGTGATGATATGAATTTACCTGAAAGGAATAACCTTCTTGGGCACTAGCAGAAGCATGGAAAATTACATATTGCATGTCAGTGAGAGTGCACACAGTATCAAACATGAGCCTCGGCCGATCCTTGCACTCGATAGTCACCATTGAATACCCTTTTTCCTTACAACTCTCAATCCAAACCACTGTCTTCCGACTCTCCTCCTCACTATCCAACCCCAAGGGCGTCCTTGGCGAGCTTGCAGGCCTCAAGTGAGGCCCATCAAAGTCCCTCACAGAGAGCATGAGCTGGTGCAACCTACGGTCCACATTAGTACTCATGCTGCCTTGGTGAATATTATGATTACTATCTCCTCCTCCCATAAGCCCAGAGGTCTTCACTTCTTGTTGACAATTGGGTTCCTTCCCAAACGGGCTGAGGGCTGTGGTGGCACGGAGGACGGTGATTAGGTGGTCTTCTATGGTGGCAATGCGTCGGGGGTCGTCGATTGGGGTGTCGGTAGATGTATCAGATATTTGAGCAACACATGCCAGGCAAGCATTGTGGCTCCATGCATGCGCTTCTACTATGTTGCATTGGAGATCCGCCAGGGCAGCGGAGATCTCTGAAAACAAACCGGGCCGGTCTGTACCGGTCATTTCAATGGTAGTGTGCTCGCTAGGATTTTCACTGGTGTGTTCAATAGGGTTTTCGGGTTCGAATAAAATAGGGTTGTTGTTGGCGTAGGACTTGGCCAAGTCTGGGGGGCCTGTGGCTGTACCTATGGCCTGCATTAGTCATTTTATAACTTTCATCAAATTGATAAGCATATTTGTGTGTACTTGTGGTTCTACATAGATAAATCATCTAAGGGCCGGACTCACTGCTTAAGAGATACTCAACAATGTATTCAATAAGTATGATACAAATAGCATTAATTATTCGAAATGTGATTCATGAACAAACCAAAACAAACCAATTAACCAAATTAATTACCTGTTGAATATAGTTAAGGACATTCTGGTCTGTAACTTTGTTGCCATGTTCATCTTTCACATGAAAAACTGCAAAAGCGTGCACAAAATTAGTGATCATAACTAAGATAGTGATAAACAAATTAAAAAAAATTATACAGGGGGTTTCTATATATATATTGAGAAATTAATTTACGGGGTTGATGGGTGATGAAGTTTGATATGTTCATACCATCCATGAACCATCCAGCATCAGAAGAAATGTAACTTTTAGTGATGGTGAGGTTCATGTCTGTCAAAACTTGCACCACTTCCAGGAGAAGCCCTTCCTTGTTCACGCTATCCACCTTTACTACTGTGCAATCTTCCATTCCTTCGTTGTCGATGCATACTTGACAACTGCGGAAATTAATTACCGAGAGATCACTTGACGATCAAGAAGTCTTGTATGTGAATGCAATTAGTGATCAAATTAATTAAGAGATTACTTACGCAGGGCCATATATCCTCTCTGGGAGATTATCAAAGTCAGGATCAAAGTAAGGCCAACAAACTTTCTTCATGCTGCACATATGAGAGAGAGAGAGAGAGAGAGAGTCAAAACATGAGGGACCAATAATTGGTCAAAGAATTTCCAATAAGGGTTTGAACTTTGAGGCTGTGAACTATTCATGGTTATAGCGCACCACAAATATTAGCCAAACAGATCAACAGATGCTTAAATAAGAAGGTCAATAAAAGTTAGAGCCAAACTACAGAAACTTTCACGATAATTAATGCAACAATTTCGGCCAAACTTAAGATCAAAAATTGGGACGATATCCAATGCTCCAGTAAATCCTCCATGCTAACTATACTTTTTTTTTTTGGCCTCGAAAAACTAATAACATTTCTTTTTTGTTGCAAATGACGGTTTCGAACACTGTATCTCTAGCCTATTTCTACTCCATGCATCCTCTAAACTAATAACTATTAAATATTGAAGAAAAAACTAAAAGGTCCAAGTGAGGTAACAGCAGCTTACACAGGTAATCAAGCAATAGTGGAACAACAAGCGAAGCTTAGCTGATGACCAATTAACCAGAAAAATATTGGGAATGCTAAAAGAGAGAGAGAGAGAGAGAGAGAGAGAGAGAGAGAGAGAGAGAGAGAGAGAGAGAGAGAGAAAGAGAGGGAGAGAAAGGGAGATAATTAAAGAGAGAATTTCTGGTTCCTAGTTGCTGGCTGGCGATTAATATTTTGGGGTTGTGGATGATTAGCTTAAATAGGTTGGAAAACTGATGACCGATTCGTGTGGAAGAGATGAGTTCGAAGAAAAATCTATATAGAAAAGATTAGGACACGTACAAAAGTCAAATGAGATTTATCAAGTTATGTTTGTTTTGATTGTTTCTTCTTCCCAGTTATCGTATATATATATATAGACCTAGCTAGTTAACCTCCATGCACATATTTTCCACGTTCGTGTATCCCTTCTTTCCACATACATGGAAACCCTCATGCAAATAACTCACACACGTCACCAAAACACGTCAACGAAACATGTCACCAAAATACCAAATCACGTTGCAAGAATCACTCTTCCTTTTGATAAACTTCAAACTATGGATAATACTACATGCATTAACTATATCCCAACTATGTGACACATAATTATTGTTATTTATTGATATTGAATATATGAGGTTCACATGCAGTAGGTGCAAATATAGCCGACACACGTCACCATACTATGTTGCAAGAATCACTCAATTTGTTTTTTTTTTTTTATAAACTCCAAACTGCCTCATTATCGGATAATATAATGTTCATCAACTATTATCTTAACTGAATATGACACGTAACATGATAATTACTTGTAAATATATCAAGTATCAACCCTAGGCCTATAGCTTAAACATAGTAGTACAAATTTGTGAAGAATATGTCCATAATTCAAATTGAGATAGACCGTTGACTTTTTGCAAAAGATTAGGATGTAAGGTGTGTTGCAGAATATTGCACTAAAGCACTTTTAATTGATAATGTCTTTGACAAAAGCACTTTTAACCAAAGCCTTAACCAGCTGGAATTAACCAAAATTTCCGATTAATTATATATATGTTTATCTCTATTTGCATCATGGAAAGTTTAACTTGTCTACCTTTTAATCATTACCCTCGGTACGCTAGCAATCTAGTCAAAGATAATGCAATCCAATCCATCTGATCTGTTGGTTATCGATCCATCCGGTTGAGTCATACCTTAGCCGTTGATTAGTGGCGATAATATATTAATATATTAGACCTAAGTCTCTCATTTGAACATAGCCTAAAATTACTTCAAAAGAATCTTCCCGATTATTTCTGGAAGAGTTGTACCATTTGAAAACATGGTACTGACCACTTGAAAAAATTAAATTTTGTAAACTAAATAGTATGAAAATTGATAATTAAATTACTACTTAAGTATTGATTAACGTGCTTATTTGTTATCGGTGACGCATTATTTAGTTTACAAATTTAATTTATCTAGCATTACTCTCTTCCTAATGAAGATGGACCCCGTTGATGCATGTTAGACATTAGGACATGGTCTGGTTCGGTTTGCCTTATCAAAGTGATCAGCAACATAATCAGTAAATATGTCATGTCGCTATTCTAGCAAAAACGCTTTATGAAGCGGTCGATAAACCAGTTGATTTGCCTCTGTAACACAACAGAAGAACTACATCACACCCAAAAAATTTAAAAAAACCGAACACCGGAATAACAAAAAATTTAAATGAATAAAAAGCCTATAACTGACTTCAAGGGAACAAAAAGGGGGCAAATGAGTATTGGCATTTGCAACTGTTACTTCTATTGGACTCTCTTCCTCACATTTTCTTAAACCCTAAACCTAACTTTCATCATCTTATTCCTTTTTCCTTCTCCTTTCTCTTTTCAACTCGGTACCGACAGTTCCAACAGCCAAAATGCCAACAAACCGATGCAAAAAATAGCAATTTCACCCCATTCCGTTGGGCGAACCAATGCCGACATTGGAACAAAACAGAGCTGTGAGTCTATGACCCAACCATCTACGAATGGTTGAACCAGGGTCCAACATTACCATTCACATGCCCATTGCTGTGGATTCCGACACCATTTGGGATCAGAGGACGAGGCAATCCTACGGCCATCTGGGGTGGTGTTGAAGGATATAACCCATGACCGTGTTGGAGGGCGTGGGGGCCCACAAGGGGACTGCCGGCTGGACTGCCTTTACGCTGCTGCTGAAGGGTATGGATCTGCCTGAGGCCTTCTTCATGGATGCTTGAAAGTGTCTCCAACTCCTTCATTGATAGAGCTTCCAAACCAGCCCCATACAGAGGAGCATGCCGCGACATTTCTTCCTGAAGTGAAGCCTCGAGGGTGTGAATATATTGCTACAGAAGATATGGAGAAGCATTAATAAGAGCGATATTATCCTGAATATTAGATAAATCAAAATATGAAGCTAAATTCAATAAGCACCAAAGCTAGCTGCTTCTGGTGATATACAAATAATTAGAAGACCGGGAAGATTATGGTGACCCAAAATGAACAAAGGAAAAATAGAGCGTTTGCTATTTTGAGGCAAAAACCTGGCAGGCCTGTAATTTTGATTCCATCCCATCAATATACGCCTCACACCGAGCAACCTGCTCTTCCTTCGCCCGTTTCTCTCCTTCTGTTTGCTCCACTGTTTGTTTCAATCGCCGTACTTCATCCTCAAGAGACTGTCGAACTTCCTCTCGGGTTACATTCTCTGTGGCATACCGTTTAAGTTCTTCATCAAATCTTTTACGTGCACCTTCAGTGCTTTTCAACCTTTCAGCAAGAGCATTTTTCTCCTTCACCAATTTCTGTCACATTCATCCATTGTAGTTAGAAAAAGGTATGTCTTAGTAGAAAAAGCACGACAAAAACATCAAATGAAGAAATAATAAAAAACAAGGATCAAATAATTATGCCTACTAATACTTTCTGCGAGTTCAAAATGAATGAATACTCAAAAGGCTTTCGCATGAAAATCATTTAAACATGCAGCTTCTGTAGACGAGATACTGAATCCAAGTTCATATTACCAAAACATGCTCCAGACATAGGAAGGCAAAATCCCTATTGCACAATCCAAAATCACAATTCATAACACGATGTCAACTGAATATTTCAAAACTCAAATGGCATGCACACAAAAATTGAGCGCATATCATAATATATATATATATATATGCTTAAATATAAAGAAAAACTAATGAAAAGGGTTTGAAAACTTTGAGTTTTAATGTTAAGGACAAAATAAAGGGTAAAGTGAATAGTACCATGTTTGACTTTTTAGTGTAAAAATGTGGTTTTTCGTTAAAATGAACAGTACCATGGCTTTTCGTTAAAACTCCCAAAATATAAAAAGCTAAAACCAATTTTTGATGCATCAAAAACCTGATATGAGAAAGAGCCTTTTGAGAAACTATCAAATACATAAGAACACCAGCTTAGATAAAAGGTGTGAGCTCATTTGAGATGACAAGAAAGAAAAGCAAATTTGACACCTTCAATTCATCACGTTTTCGGGACTTCAATTGAGAGAGTTGTGTCTCTGCATCATGAAGACGATCCTGAAGCACTTTCCTCTCTGTAGTGAGCTTTCTGATTTCATCATCTCGCTCGGAGCGGTACCACTCAAGCTGACTCTCAACTTCTTGTATTTGTTCGGATAGTTCCTTCTTTTCTCGAGCAAAGCGGTCAATCTCAGCCTTCATTTCAGACTGCCACATCATGACATGCATCAATTCTAATATTCTCCGAAAAGAATAAACAAGATGCAATAATCGTAGCCATATCACCAGTTAAGACGACAAGTACCTTAAGACGAGTGTTAGTAGCTTCAGAGTCACTTAGTTTTTGCGATAGAACAGCTTTTTCTTTAACCATAGTAGCATTTTCGGCTTTCCTTTCTTCACGCATGCAAATTATTTCATCTTCACTGGCACATAACTGGTGCCACAGAGCAGCACGATCAACGTTTGCAAGCTCAGCAACCTCCCGCATCATACTCAAAACTGGTCTGATAATTTCTTGTTCTTCAGAAGCCAAGGTCACCAAGATATCCAAATCTAGATCAACTTCACGGCTACTATCTGTAGTGCTAGTGGCTTGATCTACAAGTCTCTTTAGCATTCTCCCTCGATAAGTCTTGTCAGCATACCATTTAAATAATAACGTATACAGCATCTTCACAAATCCCTTAATACACGGATCTCTAGAGAGGGCCAATGTTTCAGCAAGACCAAGAACGGATGTAAAATCGTCTCGTTGGACTCTCAGCTGTTCATTGGCATCTTCCTCTGCTGCAACATCAGTCTGCTGAAAATTATCCCCAACAAATCTAGCATCAAGATTCAATCTTTGAGCAAGGCGCCTTTCCAAAACCATGGCCACAGAATGAGCCACAATGGCACCACGAGCTACAGCTCTCTCAAATGTTTGAGAGGCTTCAACAGCCAGACAAGGTATGGATAACATCTCAATCAAGATGTAAATGTCAGAAAAGTGACGACTCGCGTGGAAAGTCTGCTTATCCACCAAATGAAACCGTTCAGAAATTGGTCCATGTTCACCAAACAAGAAAAGACCAGAATACAATGTCGAGCAAGTGTCACCAAAATCATCGTCACAATCAATATCTCTCAGTATGGTTTCAGCAACATCTCCCCAGCTATTTACAGTTCTACTCAAAAATTCAAGAACACAAGGAGAAACGTCGGCACCCAAATTCCTTAGCCTAACACGAACCGATCTGACCTATAATAGAGAATAATGATGATTACAAATGTGAAGAGAAAGGAATGCCAAAAGTAATACAATAATATAAGTGGGCTTTTTAATTTTGAATTAAGAATTACAGCATACGCATACCGCTTCAGGCAGGTGTTGGCACTGGGATGCTGCTTTAAATATAAAATCTATGGTTGCAGCAAGAGGCTCATCATTTGAATCTGGCAAAAACTCAAGAGATTGAGATAAAACTCGTTCCCACACTACACTGCCACAGTCCAGTTGACTAAGAGCACCAAAAACCTGAGAAACAAGATAAGATACCTTAACAGAAGAACAACGTCGCAATAGGCTAAGCTGTGCAAAGTTGCACATGCTAGCTAGATTCCATAGTATATGTAAGATGCTCTGTTTTAAAGAGATATAAATACACATCTGGGGAAAGCAAATTATCTTTGAACGACAAAAAGTAAATAAATCTTAACAGGTGTCCGCAAAGCAGGTTCTGCATCTGGTTTTTGAAGTCGTTCTATAAGTGCAAAAGCAGCAAGTGGATGCTCTGAGTGCTCAACCAACTTGGGCACCAAAGCAACAAGATCGGGCTGCAGATGCTTCGGCGCTTTATCCAGTACAAGAGCGATCTTTTGTGCAGACTGAGGCCGACGTCTTGGTTCAGGACATCCTTGTGGAACAGCTCCATCTAGAGCTCTCAATGAGTTTACAATCAATCCTAAGAGCTCCTCTGATTGCTCAGGCCACTTAGTCTACAATTCAATTTGTTAAAACAGGTCAATACTATCACTTAAGCTACATATTAAATACTAGAGCAACAATGTACTGTACCTTTGAGCGAAGGGTGACATTTTCTGACACCCCGGCAGATGTTTCTGGAAGACAAATTGGTTTCCCAGGAAGAGTTTTTCCAGGTACACCAATCCCATTCACGTCAGAGCTCTGAACAGCCGAAGTGCTGCTGCTAGTTTCATCAGCGCTAGTATCCAATCTTTCACACACAGGACAATCCGAAGATTCTGTAGCTCCATTTTCTCTATCAGATTGCAGCGGACTAGCAGCTCCGCTTCCATCTGGAGACTTTGAGTTTGCATCAGACAAGTCACCATTAGAAGTCCCTTCTGTAGGTTGGCAACACTCAACCATAATGTCCAGAAGTAAATCAATGATCGCCTGCTGCAGAACTTTGACTCCCATTAGCAAATTCATCAAACTAGGGGAAGATTCATCATTCTTTATGACCTTCATTCCATCGCCGCTACTAGAAAGCTTGGTTGGAAGAAGCAGGCGTTTTACTTTAGCAGGGTCATCAAGATAAACACGGAGCCCAGTCAGAAAACCAGCAATAGCACCAGCATCCATCAGAAGCTTTTCTCGTAGAGTGACCTGTGGCTGTGAAGGATTATCTCCGTATGTGAGGTGAAATCCAGCTCTAGAAAGTAGGTTTCTAAAGATATCTTCTTCATCACCACCAACTCCTTCACTATCTTCAGAATCAACTAGCTCATCAGGATCTGTTGTTAATGCATCCTGATCATCATCCAAAGCAAAAACCTGACAGGCAAAATGCATATCAATAGGCAACCACTATGAAAGCGTAGAAGGGAAAACCACTCTTAGTCAAATTCAGTGTTCTAAAAAATGAGCCTTGAGACACGCCTAGGCAGCCTTTGAGGCAGGGTGGTGAGGAAAACACCTCTGCCCAGGGGGAGTAGGCTTCAACTCGCGCAGGCCTGGTCAAGGCGCACGTCAGCTGGGGCTTTTTTTTTTCTTTTTTCCTTTTTTTTAAGGTTAGGGTTTCCCACCTACAGAGAAGAAATTTTTTACTTGACTGTTGATTATTCTTCTATAATGTTTGATTTCAACTCTATTGTTGATTATATTATATATATATATATATATATAACATATATTAATAATTTAACGTCCCGTAAGGCTTCGCCTCACACCTCAAGGCTTTCGCCTAGGCGGGGCTATCCACGAAACGCCTTGGCTTCATCTTCACATTTTAAAACATTGGACAAACTCATTGCTACAGTGGCGAGTTGAAACGTATAGACTGCTTGAAGTTAAACAGAAATTTTATTGCTCAAGGCAGACAGAGACAATAACAGTTAAAAATAAATAATGTACCCTTGTTCTAAATTAAATGTTACACATTTCTATTATTTATTGTTTTTCTTCAAAAAAAATTAAATGTTACACAGACAGATGACGTAGGCAAACTGACATCGTATATCTCAAACAATGTTAGCAAAGAAGAGTAAAAATTAAAGAACCACAAAATACTTCCCAGAAAATTATAAATTCCTTATCATAAGCTCAAGATGGGTGAGCATTAAGAATCAAGAAACTTGAACATCAGATAGACAATATAAATACAACCATGATTAGCAGGCAGAGTGTAACTGAAACAGGCATGTAAACACTAACCTCTAGATCTGAAAACTCAAACCAAGGACAGCAGTCCAATATTTCGCAGACAAAAACAACAGTATCACGAACAAGAAACCCTGCATCTGCTTCCAACATATCTGACACCTTCATGAATTGCAAAACAGAATTGTTCCAAGTCTTTGTACATATAGATGATTCCTTCCACACAGTTTTAGCAGGGTTCTTTTGATTCACAACAGCCATCCTGTATCTAACCCAAAAGTTTTTATCCAGATCACTACCAACTGACTGGTCACTCTCCAAATAAATACATATGGTGTCAAAGGACTCATATACACCTGCATCAAGGAAAACACATGTCAGTAAGATTATGAAATGCAAACAAATGCGACCACCCTTTTTAGTGGAGAAAATGTGTGACTGCTGCTTACCAATTCGAATTTCACATCCACCAGCTTGGAAGAATTTGCTAAAGATTTTTCTAGTCTCCATTATTTCCTTAAAAGACAGGAAGTTCTCCACCTTCCATGTGAAGGAACTTCTTCTCCCATTCTTATCAATCTGCAAACCGGCATCGCTTGACACATTATCCTGATCAGTAAACTCCTGCATTATTGATGTCTCCTTCAATATAAGGACCTCCGCGGAGAATACAACAGTGTCCTGAACTAGAAACCCTGAATCTTGATCAAATAGACTAGTAAGCGTCACAAATTCACGCCAGCCCCAGTCCTTTGCAGCTTTGGAGTAGCGGTTCTGAGACTCCTTTGTGACAGACTTCTCCTCCATCCTCTGGTTAACAACCGACAAACGATGGCTCACAAAACAACTCCAGTCACTGGAAGTATTCCGTGAATCAGTAACTTCAAGAAACACTGAAAGGTGGCATGGTGGCTGAGACTGCCCTGATACCACCAAAGATATGGAAAATTTTCATCAGTTCACTCTCTAAAACACAAGCTGAATAGTTGTTATGTTGTCTAACACATTTATAAAACTGTATCATTCCACCATATGGAATTTCAAACTGTTCATGACATACACAATCCTAGGAAAAAATGAGCACGCCTAAGCATAGCTCAAGTAACATCGAGCACGAAGAGCAGATTATAAACAATATATGCAAATCATGGTGGCTTACGCTAACTTGGCTGCATTCATACATACCATATTTGCAGTGGCCCATGATGCCAAGTAACTACAGATGCAGCTCCCCTACGTTCCCCTGCGTTCAAGTGCTGGGATTGTAGGGAAGGACATGTAAAACCATTTTCAAATAGGATGATAAAGGTACAACTAGTCCTCAAATATCTGTATGAGAATGGTGTATCGCAAGGTTTCATAGCTTTGTAACACATTAAATTCACAAAAGAAAGAGTTATTGATGGTTACAACCGATTATTGCGAATAAAACAACAGAGAATCCTCTTGTGCAATAATGAAGCATACCTCGGGGATAAACTATGAGTCGACAGTCTCGATTTCCAATCTGAAACCTCCTGCTCTTGATGCAGAGACCTGTTATCTTCCTCTTCTTTAAAAGATCCTTCAACCTAGTGAAGTTTTCAATCCTCCAATTGAATTTCCCAATGTGACCATCCAACTTCCTTGCCCCACTACCACTCCTCCCAGTAATTAATCCTCCATTCTTCGAAAAGCTACTAAATTCCTTTATCACATGAAATGATGTACTAAACACTGCAGTATCATCCAATAAAAACCCCGACTCAGTCCCAACAAAATCCGACATCTTCATATAATCATTCCACCCCAAACTAGTGTTATCCCCACTCTTATTATCGGCAGCAAATCTCCCATACGAGTCCCTATGCATGTGATTAGTCGCAGGCTTTTGGTTCAACACCGACATTCGAAACAAACACCAACAACTCCTATCAGACAACACAACCGTCTTGTCCGTGTCCTTGCTCTCCAAACACATTGACAAATACTCCACGCCGTTCACCGAGCTCTGGTACACACTAATCCTCAAATTACACTCTCCAGCAGGAAACACCGGGCTCATTATCTTCTGATTCTTAACCATCTCCTTAAACAAACTAAAGTTATGAACTTTCCATGTGAACTTGCCACTCAACACATCGGAAACCGGCCCGGCCACGGCGGAACCAGACATCATCGAGCCGGCGGACGATTGGAGCTCATTGTTATTGTTATTACTATCTCGCGTAAAATTAACGGACTCATTCAATATCAAGATATCGGCGGTAATCAAAACGGAGTCCGTATTGAACAAATAACCTAATTTCGATTCAAAGACAGTTGAAGAAGGCGTAAAATCGCACCAACCGTGAGATTTCTTCTTGCTCGAGAACCGATGCCAAGAATCGCGATGAATGGTCTTGGAATCGTCGGCGAGGTTAACGATGGCGAGCCGGTAACTCGCGAAGCAGTCCCATTTGGACGACGACGTGCCCCGCGGGTCCATGATTTGGAGGTATATCGAGATGTACCCCGGCAGCGCCTGTGAGTCACCCTTAGGGTATATTAGCAACCGGCAATCGTATCCCCCTACCTCGAAGTAATTGCTCCACAGTGCCCTAGCCTTGATTCTCGGAAAGTTCTGGACCGTCCATCGGCAGACCGCAGAGTACTCGCCCCGCCGATCGACGGTCACGCTCTCTTGTGCCCCGCTGCCGTCCCTGGACCCCACAGCGAGGTCCTCCTGTGCCGCCGCAGGTATCGACGAAAGCTTTTCGGAGGCTCCCGAATTCGGCGATGAGGTGGCGGGCAGCGAATGGTCGGCTGCAGTGGATACGGCGGAGGAGGAGGAGGACGACGACGACGATACCGCCTCAGACGATGATGAGCTCTGCTGCTGCTTCATTAGGGGTTTCGTTTCGTTTCGTTTCGTTCGCGTTTCTCTTCTCCTCTCTCTCTCTCTCTCTCTCTATCTTTCTCTCTCCTCACTCTCTGGTTTTTATATTCAATTTTTTATTTTTTATCAATTTTTTGGGAGAACAAAGAAGTAGATGAACGGAGGGCATTTTGGACAACAAGCGGTGCATCGTAGTTAACCTGCGCCGTCGCTCTGCCTTCCCTTTCCTTTTTTTTTATTTTTTATGTACTAGCCACACATTCCTTTTTACTTCTCACATGCCTCTTGTTAATTTTTATCATTTGATCGTCTTCAATTCATCCGATCCGATGGTCGAAAATTAAAACGGTGTATAAGAAGTAAAAAATTGTGTGTGGATATCACACCCTTTTTTTTTTATCTTTTTTCCTAATTTTGCGTCTTTAAGGTTTGGCTAGTTCTGATCGTCTACATCCAGGTGTTATATCGCTACGTGTAAGGCCGTTGATCTGATGATGTATTTGCACGTGCGATGGGGCCCACGTGGGCAGTAGGTCCAATCAGGGGTTATTACAGCACGTGCTGCGGAAGATCCGCTACGGCCATAGCCGTTTTCTTCCTGCTGCTCTAGGGCAGTCATCAGTTCTAAAAACTCTTTTTTTTTTAGGTGTGATATTCACACACCATAAATTAACAAAGGGTATATGAAAAGTAAAATAGAATGTGTGGATAGCACATCTTTTTTTTTTTGGGGAAAAAAGTAATTTCATTACCAACGGGAAAGGGATCCTTTCCAGATCGCTTCCACCAAATCCTACCAATCAACAAATTTGGGCATTGAAATTTAATCCAACAGCTAAAAACATAGAGCTCCTTTAAAAATTGGCTAAATTGGATTAATAGCCCCCGTGGTAAAAAAATTCGGATTTAAACCCTCGCGGTGAACTCCGTTAGAATTTAAGCCCAAAATTAACATCTTTCTCGTCCGTCTCTTAACCCATTCAACCTTTGTTTATACCATATTTAGGGCCTCGTATTTAGATCTTGTACAAATATTTGAGGAACTTAAATGTAATTATGTGATAAAGGAATGGGCAAATATGTAATAAGTGAGGAGTCCTTATTCTATAAAAAGACCCCTCACCCTCACAATTAGGGGAGGCCATTTATGGAGCCTTCTCACCCCTCTCATTCCCTCTCAAAGCTCTCACTCTCATAACTCTCTCTCCCTCACTTCTCAGAGAAATACAATACAATCAGTGTGGACGTAGCCCAAACCTTGGGGTGAACCACGATACATCTTGTGTTGTTTACATTTCTGCAGATTCACAGTCGGATTTACGTTGTTCCAAGACCTCCGGTTTTGTGCATCAACATTTAGCACCGTCTGTGGGAAACGACACGAAAAGCTATGTCGGTTCTCTTTTATTTTTTTCACATCTACCGTGAATCTGCAGAAACTCAAGAAATAAAACATGGGTTCTCCTGCAGTGTTTGTGCAGCTCTCAGTCCTATTGAGCTGCTTCACTGTCTTCGGTAATGCAATTACCACTTTACCTGCCATTCTTGCACACCACACAGAGCTATCCCAATCGGGGATATCCAAATCAGGGTTTGGACTTTCCTAATTGGGAATATCCTAACCAGATTAACCAGAGTCAGAGCTACCCACAACGAAAACTCGAATCAGTGGAGTTCGGCTCAAGGGGCAAGGAAAGGGCACTCATCAGTATCAAAACCCTAACCCCCAAAATCTACACTCGTGCAATCTCTCTCGCTCTCTGAAGTCATGGACCGCAGTTTCACGGCCAAGGATATCAGACAAGCCCAACCGAACTCCTGTTTAGGATCCCGACTCGTATCCCTTCGTATGGCTTCAGCACATAACTGCCGCAGTTCCGAGGTGAGAAGAAAGAAAAAGGGAATGTTGAATGTTTTCCGTCAACTAGAACTTGAAAAAAAAAAAAAAGCTTGTTGAAGACTCCCTGAGTCTGACTTAACCCAATACTTCAGCTTCAAAGAAGAAGGAATCTGCTCTGCTCGAGATATTAGATCCCTACTTCAAGAAATCAAGCAGCTCCCCACTCTCAATGGCCTCTTCCGCTCGACCCGCTTCAGGCCGGGGCTGAAACTGGACGAAATTGTGTCCTCGTCGTCATTCACGTGAACGTCGAACTTCACGATGTCCGCTACGAACTTGAAGCCCTGAATCGCCAACACCTCTTCTTCCGCCCCCTTTTCCGCCTTGGTCCTAGACTTATTTGGCCGCGGCACGATCATGCTGATAACCGAGTCCAGAGTGAACGAGAACTCACTGAGTTCGACGACCCTGTTTGGAGTAGTCTCGACGGTTGCCGATTCGCCGGAATTCCCTGTGATTTCACTCATCTTTGATCCGCCGTTTATTCCTAGCCCTCCGATGAGAATGTCTCGCCTTGCAAATTGTGGTTTGTTCGATGACGCTTTGGATGCAAAGCAAGGATTGGGATTTCGAATGAAGGAAATTTGGGAGTGGGTTTTGGAAATGGGAGAGATTGAAGAAGTGGGTAGGCTAGGAATTGGTGCAGAATGCAAGGGCATTGAGAAAGAAGCCATGGATGATAGCTCGGTGATAACAGCATCTCGGTCCGGCGTTCTCCATGGATGTCGTTGTTCTTTTCCAATACCTACTTTAGTACATGGTGCACATGCATGATAGCTTAGAGACATAAAGAGAGGAAAGTGAAAAGAAAAAGCAAAAGCAAATCTGCTTCTGCTGTTCCACAGGCTCGCAAAGCATCCTTGGTTATGTTTTTGGAGATACGCGGGGGAAAGAGAAAAGCAGAAAAGAGGTGAGCCCTATTAGGAGCGGGGAGATCAAGAAAAGTAGCAGTGGAAAACAAAGCAGAAAAGAGAAAGCAAAAAAGCAAAAGAGAAAGCAAAAGCAAAGAATAAACACCCCACCAGAATGATGTGATTTGCTTTTCTTGTTTTTGTATAATGTAATTTATTTTTCCTATCTTTCGGAAACATCTGTATAAACCCCATCAAAGGGTAAAAAAAAAACAAAAGGGCAAAGCCCATTTATTATGGAGGGCGAAGGCCCATAAGCCCAAAATAGCACCAACCAGGTGATCAAAAGTACGCCCAGTACTCCAAAATTATTCGACAACCTGCCACTATTACCACCAACCAGGTGATGAAATGTACAACCCGTACTCTCCTTCATGCCACCAACCAGATGATCAAAAGTACGTCCAATACTCCAAATTATACATGAGCATTACTCATGTCATTTATACATAAACATTTATGAGCATCACTCATGACAATCATACATAAACATTCATGACCATCATTCATGACCATCACTCATGTTAACATTCATAAGCATCACGCATGACAACATCCATGAGCATCACTCATGTCAATCAACATAAACATTCATGAGCATCACTCATGTCAATCAGCTTCAAAAGCTTTATTCACAGAGCTCTAGCTTCAAAAGCTTCATTTACAGAGCTCTAGCTTCAAAAACTTCATTTATAAAAGCTCCAGCTTCGAAAGCTTCATTTACAGAGCTCTAGCTTCAAAGCTTCACTTGCAAAGCTTCACCTACAAAGCTTCAATACAGGGTATACAAATACCGCATTTAAACAATTGCCACTTCGGTCCATACATGGATTCAATTTGAAGTCTCCAGCCAACAAACTCTATTGACCGAAGACTTGGGGACTACATTATGTACCATACATTGGGCCTCAACTGGGCCTCATGAAAAATACTTGGGGGACTTAGCCCATCACTTGTGTCTTGAGAGCGAGCCTTTATTCTATAAAAGGGACTCCCTCACCTTCATTAGAGAGCAACGCCGCCAGCTGAGCAACCACCTCGCCGCAAGCATCAACTCTTAGCCCATCACTTATGTATTGAGGAGCGAGCCCTTATTCTATAAAAGGGACTCCCTCACCTTTAACGCCACAAGCCGAGCCAACCAAGGCAACATAAGCCACGAGCCAAGCAGCCTCACAGCATGTGCTACTTCTAATTAAGCATCATATCAGATTGAGCATTGCTTCATATTGAGCATCAGTTTAAGACAACATCTAGTTACTTCGGCCCACACATGGACTGAATTTCAAGTCTCCAGCCACAAAACTCTCTTGACTAAAGACTTGGGGGACTACTGTTTATACCATATTTAGGGCCTCGTATTTAGATCTCGTACAAATACTTGAGAGACTTAAATGTAATTATGTGATAAAGGAATGGGCAAATATGTAATAAGTGATGAGCCATTATTCTATAAAAAGACCCCTCACCCTCACAATTAGGGGAGGCCATTTCTGGAGCCTTCTCATCCTCTCATCCCCTCTCAAAGCTCTCACTCTCAGAACTCTCTCCCCCTCACTTCTCAGAGAAATACAATACAATCTGCGTGGACGTAGCCCAAATCTTGGGGTGAACCACGATACATCTTGTGTTATTTACATTTCTGTAGATTCACGGTTAGATTTACGTTGTTCCAAGACCTCCGGTTTTGTGCATCAACAACCTTCATAACCAAAAGAGAAAAAAACTCATTCATCCAAGGCTATGAATTCGTTGAACCATGCTACGATTCCATTCAAATACTGAAAAACGAAATATTGGTTGTGAAAACTAACTTACAGATTGAGGATGGTGTGGTTGGAGCCTCTCTCCAGTAAAAGAACCTTCAGGATTTGTAAAAATAAGAAAGAACCACAATTTTGGGTGGTAAATATAAACTTACTCAAACTTTACAAAATCTAAAGGTTAATAAATTACAAGGGATTGGAGCCAAAAGCTTGAAACTTCACAACCCATATCAAATCTCAGCCGCAGATGCCACCTGAGCGTGAAAGGAAGCTCATTTTTCTGGTTTTACCGTAAAGAAAGCTCCTTTTTCTTTTGGGTATCCTACTTAGAGAAAGAGCTGAAATTTAAAAACTTGCTCGGATTGAATTAACCCAGAGAACACAAAAAGTGATACTGCTTTGGACCAGAAAATTTAAAATCCAATGAAATCTTTGGGGGAAGGGTGAGATTGTTAATTTTGGGTTAACGGAGAGTTCACATAAATGTTAATTTTGGACTTAAATCCTAACGAAGTTCACCACGAGGGTTTAAATCTGAATTTTTTCACCACGGGGACTATCTTCCGATTACCCTCTCACCACGGAGACCATTAATCCAATTAGTCTTAAAAATTATAATAACTTTAACCGTTGAATCAAATTTCAAAGACCCGAATTTATTGATTGGTAGGAATTGGTGGAAAGGATCTTGAGAGGATCCCTTTCCTTACCAACACATCAAATATACAAGGAGGAGGGCAAAAAACATGATAAGCATAAAAGAAAAAAGAAAAAGAAAACTAACGAAAAGTCTAAAAAAACTTTAGTTTTAATGAAATATGACAAATAAAGGTGTAGTGAATAGTACCAAGGAAAGGTAAAAATGTGGTTTTTCGTTGAAAGTGAACAGTACCGGAAGTGTTAATAAAACTTCCTAAGAGAAATGGACCTCCAACAAAACAAAGTAAAAGCCTAAAACAGACACTTGAGCCCAACAAAACAACCAAAACAAACCCTAACAATCTGCACACAGCACCGTCGTCAATGCACTGTAGTCTCTTTTGAATGAGATTAAAATTTCAAAGCATATTAAAAGTACCAAAACCATAACACATTATAAATTTATAATATTGAACAAGTGTGAAAAATGTCAAAACAAATATGCAAACGCTCGTTATTGCATCCTTTAAGCTTTGACTAAGCGTTTGGATTTTTAAAACCCAATAAACCCTCATGAAAAGTATTTTTTTTGGAGTTCAAAATAAAGAAAATTTCATAATAATAATGTATAGGTGTGCAAAATGTTAAAAGAAATGCAAACCCACATGATTGCATTATCTACGCTTAGATAATGGTTACATTATTGTTTAGATTTTTAAAACCCTCCAAACCCTCATGAATAGTGTTATTTTGTCACATCCTGGCCCGGGTCCACCACATCCCGGGTCCGTTCCACCACTATAGCACAATATTGTCCACTTTGGGCTTACCATTCCCTCAAGGTTTTGTTTTTGGGAACTCACAAGCAACTTCCCAGTGGGTCACCCATCCTGGGAGTGCTCTGGCCTTCATCTCGCTTAACTTCGGAGTTCCTACGGAACCCGAAACCAGTGAGCTCCCAAAAGGCCTTGTGCTAGGTAGGGATGGAAATATACATTTAAGGATCACTCCCATGGGATGTGGGATGTTACAATCCACCCTCTTAGGGGCCGACGTCTTCGTCGGCACACTTCCGGCCAAGGATTGACTTTGATACCAATTGTCACATCCCGACCAGGGTCCACCACATCCAGGACCCATTCCACCACCGTAGCACGATATTGTCCGTTTTGGGCTTACCATTCCCTCACGGTTTTATTTTTGGGAACTCACGAGCAACTTCCCAGTGGGTCACCCATCCTGGAAGTGCTCTGGCCGGGCTTACCATTCACTCACGGTTTTGTTTCTGGGAACTCACGAACAACTTCCCAGTGGGTCACTCATCTTGGGAGTGCTTTAGCCTCCTTCTTACTTAACTTCAGAGTTCCTATGGAACCCGAAGTCAGTGAGCTTCCAAAATGCCTCGTGCTAGGTAAGGATGAGAATATACATTTAAGGATCACTCCCATGGACGATGTGGGATGTTACATATTTGTTTTAGTACAAAATTAATAAAAATTCATAGTAATTAATGTAGAAATATGAAAAATGTAAAAATATATATATATATACACACACACACAATCATTCGTAATGACACGCTTTACAAATTTGTGAACAAGTCAACCCTAAAATTCAACATCATAATCCATAAACTCTAGATTTTTATTTAACCCCTACGCTCTATTTTTCTCACTGGATTTTATTTTTTAGATTTTATTTTTTTAAAATGAGATCTTTTAGCGGATGCAGAAAAATGTTCGATTCATATCGTTGATATCACGTTTCAATGTTTACAAATATGAGTCAATGTTATATAGTTTCTAAAGACTTATAAACTCCAAGCAATATTTTCACTAACCGTAAAAATCTGAACGTGATATTAATGATCCAAACAATTCTTCTTTCCGCATCCACTAAAAAAAATCATGTTATCAAAACGAAAATTTGAAAAAAAAAACGAAATTCAGTGAGTGATCAAGCGAAGCTTCATAAACTCTATTTACATGCATGTCACTTAATTGGATGATCCATATGCTTGCAATCTTCCTCTTCATGATTGATCACATAAAACTCCCCAAATGTTGAGACTCTTAAGTGTATCTATACTGATAAATCTAGCAACGAATGATGGAGTGATAAATTTGATGTGCTAGCCCCTTGGATCAATATAGAATGCTTAAAGTTTTTCTCTCTTTTCCCTAGTGGATAATTAAAATGAACAACCTTTGCATTATCTTTCTGAGAGGAAACACACGAAGTATTTAAAGACTCCTTGCCGCGCCCCCTTTAGCCGTACCTCCCTAGGGTTAGGTGACATGGACTTATCATATAAACAGTGCCTGACATTATACGTCAACCCCACATTTCTTGTATTCCACATAGAAGCACCTAGAGAACTGATCGTTATACTTGAAAAACAACCACTTGAACTGATCGATATACTTGAAAAACAACCACCTGAACAATAAGCACAAATGGATCCAAATCAAAATAAACAACAATGCACGAAACAACGCGAATGGCTTGTAGCTTAGTTTGTTTTTTTGGAAAAAAAACTTGTAGCTTAGTCAAGAGAAAAATGAAAAAAGGAAACCAATTTATCTTTGCTCTAAATATGAAATCCAAATTCAAAAGAAACCCATCATAAAAAAAAACCAACAAATTTCAAGAACTTTCATTCACAAATTTTAGAAATAATGACTTGCCTGATAAAAGAATAGCTTTAGGGTGTTGTGGAAACGCAACAAAGTTGATGTGAGTTTTAGGAGAGTAATCTGAAATCTTACTTTGTCAAATGCTTAGAGAATTACACATTCAACACACCATAAAAAATTTAAAACTCTAACCTATAAATAAACAATAAAACAATCTATAACCAAAATATGGGATAAAGTGTCGATGGCTCTTCGAGCTTTTACAACATTTTTTTACGGTTGAATCAGAATATTCAAAAGAGAAAAACAATACAATTAGTTTTACATTAATTTAAGCTAGCTTAGATATAATTGTAAGATTTGAATTGAAAAAATAAGAGACAAATCAAGAATAGGTTTTGCAATTAAAAGTTGAAATAATATCAAGGGTAATTCTCATTTTGAAATAAGATTTCAAACTTTCATACATCAAGTTTTTTATCCCAATTTCATACCTAGAGTGAGAATTGTGGGACATTTTCATACTTCTGATAGACTTGTCGTAAAAAAAACTCCGTCAATGTGTGACGTAACACCTATGTGGACAATGAATGGATGCCACGTATCATTGTGGGCACATGTGCACATTAAAGATTAAAACTAAAATAAAGAAAAGAAAATAGCAACAACCTCTCTTCCCTCCTGCCTTTCCCACTGCCACATCTCTCTCACCCACCGTAAACTGCAAACCACATTAGTCACACCATTTTCAACCCCAATTCAGCCCCACCCTCATTCCCAAACAAATTCCTCTATAATAAACAACCAAACCCATAGAACTCCACCTCAGAACTCCAAAAATTCAAAACTCAGAATGAAAAACTTCCAAACCCTAGTACTACAAAGAAGCGGGAGGAACTCCAGGAGAATGCAGGTGATTTTAATTTTCAACACAGATTCCAGGGAGGATATTGTTCCTATTTTTTTTTTCTCTGTTTGATTTTTAATTTTTTTTTGTTTTTTAATTTTTAATTTTTTGATGTCCACATGAAGCAACAGTGACACGTGATGTCCAGTCATTTTCTAAGTGGATGCCACGTCACGTATTAAAGGAGCTTCTAACGAAAGCCTAACAAAAGTATGAAAGTGTCTCACAATCCTCACTTTAAGTATAAAGTTGTGATAGAAAAAAAACTTGATGTATTTAAAGTTTGAAAATATTAGAGAATATTGTTTCATTTCCATTGATAAAAGATGACAAAAGTTGTTCACTGAAACACCAAAAGAAGAAAAGAAGAAAAGAAAAGAAAAACAAAAAGAAAAGGGTGTCATCCATCTACTTGGACAACAAATAAAAGAAGGAAAGAAAAAGGGTTTTTATCATAAATGATCCCTGACATTGATCAAACACATCATTTTGGTCCTGACATTGAAAATCAATAGAAATGGTCCCTGACATTGATCAAACACATCACAAATGGTCCTTCCGTTAAAAACTTTTTGGGCAATTTTCAAAGCTTTGTAATTCAATCGTTTCTTAACCAAATTCGACTCATGATATATCAAAATGAAGATAGAAAAGTGTAGAACAAGATTATACCTATTTGGAAGCCCAATGGTTGCCGGAGATGTCCGGAAAATAGCCTCAAATGTGACTGGTCTGCGAAAAAACTGAAAAACTCGCCTGAAATGGGGTAAACTTTAAACATTCATAACTTCTTCAATACTTAACGAAATTGAGTGATTCAAAAATGAAAATCATACTTCTCAACGAGAAAAAGAGAATGGTACCTTTATTGACTGCTAATTTACTGTGGTTTGACCGTAAAATGGCTCGAACTTGGATAACCATTTTCGAGTTAGCCAATTTCGAGTCATTTTCCGGCCAAACTACGACGAGTTAGCCATCAAGAAAGATACCATTCTCTTAGTCTCGTCTAGAAGTATGATTTTTGTTTTTGAATCACTCGATTTCGTTGATTATTGAAGAAGTTATGAATGTTTAAAGTTTACCCCATTTCAGGCGAGTTTTCCAGTTTTTTTGCTGACCAGTCAAATTTGAGGCTATTTTCCGGCCATCTACAGCAACCATTGGGCTTCCAAATAGGTATAATCTTGTTCTACACGTTCCTAGCTTCATTTTGATATATCATGGGTCGAATTTGGTTAAGAAATGATTGAGTTACGAAGTTTTGAAAATTGCCCAAAAAGTTTTTAACGGAATGACCATTTGTGATGTGTTTGATCAATGTTAGGGACCATTTCTATTGATTTTGAATGCCAGGGACCAAAATGATGTGTTTGATCAATGTCAGGGACTATTTATGATAAAAACCCAAAGAAAAAAGATAAAGAAGAGATGGCAGCTAATGACGTGGGATTAATGTCCCACTTTTGACGTGACCTCACTTGATTCTTCTTCTTCGCCCGGTCTGATAATTGAGAGAAAAACATAGAGCTCTCATTCTCTCATCCATATTAGAAATAAGAGAAAATTTGAAATTCTCTCCATACCTCACTGAATTTGGTCTACAAATTCATGGGGAAGAGTAGTATATACGAAGGTAAATTAATCTTGGTTTCGGTCCAGTTTCAAATTATGCTCAATTTCAAATTAAAACGGCCCAGTTTGGAAAAAGAAAGATGCTTTAGCCTTCAGAAATCTGAAAGCCTCCAACGAATTCAAAGCATAGTTCCTAAAAAAACAAGAATCATACATACATGTCAAACTGGGAGTAATCTGGTTGAAGATGTGAGACCATTCATTTATGTGAAACCATCACAAGTCTTACTCATCTGCCTCCCAATCTCTTCCACTCCTCCATCATCTATATTAATGAAACAATCAAAACTTAAGTGACCTTCTTGCAGGAACTCAAATTCAAAACAAAATATTAAGTCTCATAAAAAAATATATGAAGTCTTCCTAAAATTCATAGATGTAAATGTGAACCCAGATAAAAATTATTCAATTAAGATAAAATTCACAAATGGGTCATCTAGAATCAGAACTATAAACAAACAGCGTACGCAAAAATAAAAATTACTAATAAATTTATAAACAAACATCATAACCCACAACCAACTAACCTAAAAATGCACAAAATCAAAATAGTAATCCAAGAAAAAAAAAACGAACAAATCGCACAGAAAACCCAGTAAGAAACAAAACAATCTAACAAATCCCACACAAAAAATCCAAATAAAAAAACCTAAAACAACAAATTATTCACTAATTATTCATACAAAGCTGGACAAAGGTATTTAACATACCGATTGAAGTGAGAAATCCGAGTCCTAACGCTTGCTGATTTTAAAAATTTGTATATACACGAAACGAATTTGTGCATGCAAAAGCTTGAATGTTGACAGAAATGTCGAGGATCGTGTTTTTTTTAGAAAGAAGAACAACGGCGATGGCTTAGTTTTGTGAGAGAAGAAGAGAGCAGCGCCGATTTAGTTTTGTGTGTGGAACAAAACTCAAAGAGAAGCAAAAGTTGGAGAATAAGAGGTGAGTAAAGTGCCACACGTCCCACTAAACACGCGTAAGGATTCCCAGCCAACAACTCACTTAAGGGAAAAATCATAAATTCACTGTGTAACAATATGAAAATGCTGGGTATGGAAGCAGTTGGAGGGGCTTTGTGAATGCATTGTTGGTGAATAATGTTTCTCAACTGAGTTTTAGTATAGTTATAATGTTGTGACCTAAAATTTAGAGGGTGAAGAATAGGGGTGCGCCAAGAAGGAAGGGAGGGGTGTGAGGAATTGTAGTTCTATTCCTCATGGCTTGTGCCTTTATTTATAGTAAACAATAGGGAGAAAGAAACTTGCTTCCCAAGAATACAAAGTATAATAGGAAAAGACTCTCCTAGACTACATAGTTTCTAAATCAAATCTATTATGAATTTACACAATCATATCATATAAAATATATTTATAACACTCTTATATGCAAATACTTAAGTAGTAGTCGGATCAGATCTTTATGCAAATGTAGAATTAGTTGATGAAGTCGTCTCTTCTAGTTGAAACCAATGGCAGAGCTAGGAAATTTTTACCATATGGGCTAGCTTAAAGATTTAAACAAAGAAACTTAATATTGTATTTTTCAGAGTATGCTCTAGCTTAAGAAAATTTCACAAGGTGAGATGAGAATTTTCGTTATTAAACAAACACGTGTTAAAATTCAAACAAATCCAAAGTTGTACATGTACAATAAGCGATGAGAAAAAGGATGTAACAAAAAGAGATCGTTTGTAAACTATATTACATAATTTTATATGGTTAAACCAAGAGAATTAAGATTAGTAACTAAATATATAATGGGTTACATTCGAAAATCAATAAAAATTACATGTAAAATATTAGTTTTTTATGAAAAGCTACCTGGGCTATAGCCTAAGGTAGCCCTTAACATGGCTACGCCATTGGTTGGAACAAGTAGCAAGCGCGAGTATCATATATAAATTGCAAGTAGGAGCAAGTCTCACCAAAACATTATATAATACAACCAAACGGGACAAAACCGGACATAAGTACCCAAAAAAGCATACAAGGGTATGACCATCCTACAATGATGTCTCGCCAAAACCTCTTTGGGTTAGCAAAAACCCAGTGGGAAAAGCTCATGATCTAAGGGAAGAAATGTATTAAGGTCAAGTAAGTATACTTCCGGATACTCCCCTTGAGAACTACAAGTATTGAAAATGAGATGGTTACGAATGCCAATTCCTCGAACAAGCTTCTGGAAGGTTGATTCCAGCAGTGACTTCATAAAGAGGTCAACAATATTGTCTCTGTTACAAATCTGCTTGACTTCAATCTTCTGATGGTTTGTTGATGTGATGTAAATGCAATAAGCTTGGTGTTGACTTTGCTGATGCATCATTTCTTGATCACCATACATGCAACATTGTCTTCATAAACCGTAGTTAGGACTTAAAGATGGATGAAAATTTCGTAAGTGCTTCAAATATGCTCAATGACGGCTAATATCCACTCACGTGTGGCATTGTGAGGAAACCTATTTCGTCAACAGTGGAATAATCTGGACGTCGTGATCAAGGAGCCATGTACTACACCTGCAGTTGTAGTGATGGTGGTGCTCAAGGTCTATACCTATCTCGAAGCCTAAAATTTGGTTGAGGAAGATGGCAAAAAAAAAAAAAAAAAAAAGCACGGATGAAGCATTGATTCGAACTAAGGTCTATTTCGTGGACCTCCAAAATATTGCTATGTTTGTAATGGTAAATACATAAACCAGTTGGGAACGTGCCTTGTGTTGATTAGACAAGTAACTGGCGTCAACAAACTAACAAGACAAACATCATTTCAGAGACCAAGAGGGTGTGGTATATTTTGAGATGCAGGGGGATAAAATAAGCCTAAATTTGTAGTAAAGGAAGAATGTCTTTAACACTAATTCAATGGTTTCATATGGAACTTCGGGCCTCATAACCTCTACAAAAGTTTCATTTACATCTAGCGTACGAACAACAATGGATTTACTCAAAGATGACACCTACTGGGTGTAGTTCAACTCGTAGACCAGAATACCATCAAATAATAGTTTTGTTAAGTACTTGTAAGCATTGCATTTAGTTCACAAATGTTAGACAAAAAGGACAAACTTCAAATGGAAAAATGAAAACATACCCAGGGCAAACAAACTTTGAAATGAATAATTGAAGATCAATAGACAAACATTAACAAGGTGTGTGAATAACACTGTCTATAAAAGCGAATCCTATTGGTAGAGAGAATATAATGAGGTTTTAGCCCACGTGTCAGCGCACAGGGTTGATAGATTTGTGGAAGCTCTGCAATCCCTAGTGTGACTCGCACTTTTCCTTCACCAGCAGCTAACTCGGAGCGCCCCGACTCAGCCCTAATCCTACGAGTCTCTGACAGTTGGTTTCCCGCCCCGGCGACTCCGACCTGGTAAATCGCTGTAAGATCGCCTAAATTCTCACTTTATTACCCTAATTTTCCGTGTTTTAGCATTTAGTTATGAGATTAAGTGGATCGTTTTGACCTTGGACTTGGATTATTAGCAACTGTTTGGATGCCGAGAAAAGGTGGGAAAGTGAAAGAAAGTTAAATTGTGTGTTTAATCTGTATTTTAGGTTTAGAATAAGCAAATTCAACGGTAAATAACGGCTTTCAACTTCTTTAATCCTTAATTATGGGGTTATCGATTGTGCATTTGTCTGTGAAATTGTAAATATATTTTAAATTTTTTGGTTGTATATCTTACTGTAATGTTGTTACTGCTGCTGTGGATTGAAAGAATTGTTTGAGTGGATAAAAACTTTTACCCTTTGTTACTTTGGAGTTTTCTGACAAATGCATGCTCAAAGTGATGAGATTTTCATCCTTTTACTATTTTGATTTTACTACTGATGTACAAAAATGGATGTTTTGTATAGGGTTACTTTTATTGATTCCGTCGTGCCTTAGCCTGAAAGGGGAGGAGGGTTCGTTAGGCACGACGGAATCACTTTCCTGTTAGGCATGACGGAATCACATTCTGTCATGCCATATGCCGCTGGGCGCTCAACTGTCTTCGCAATTCATTGTAAATCGTGAAACTTTGAAATTCAAGGTTGCATATGTTGTTCAAACTTTTGGTTTAATGGTGTCTGAAAAGATTTTTCTTGTATGATTGTTATTTCAGATGGAACAAGTTTCTCTTAACACCGAGCCTGTATTTGACAAAGGGGATGACTATGAATTGAAGGGAGATTTTACCGAGCATGATAATGGAACTGGGGAAACACACAGAAAAAGGACCCCTGAGAACCTACGGTGGGTTTGGAGTTCGATTCATTTGATGAAGCCTATGATTTTTACAATATCTATGGGAAAGAGCCGGGATTTGGCATCAGAGTAAGCAATTCATGGTTCAGATCAAAGAGAAAAGAGCGGTATCGAGCAAAGTTAGGTTGCAGCAGTGCAGGTTTCAAGAAAAAGAGCGAAGCCAATAATCCAAGACCCGAAACAAGAACTTGTTGTCCTGCAATGGTAGTTATCAGGCTGGTGTACTCCAAACGGTGGAGAATAGTCGAATTAGAGCTTGAACACAATCATCAGGTGAGTCCCCAAATCAAAAGGTTTTACAAGTCACATAAGAAAATTATCCTTGCTGCCAAAGTGCACAACCGCCACCGGAGCCTGTTACAGAAGTTCATACTATCAAGCTGTATCAAACACCTGTTATGGACGTTGGGTGCAGTGGATACTCAAAGTTTAGCGAAACTGAAGGTTTGAATTCAGCTGATCTCTCTAATCACTTGGAACTTAAAGAAGGAGACGCTCATGCAGTTTACAATTACTTTTGTCACATGAAATTGACGAACCCTGATTTCTATTATCTAATGGATCTTGATGACGACAGATGCCTGAGGAATGTGTTTTGGGCTGATGCTAGGTCCAGGGCTGCATATGGCTACTTTTGCGATGCAGTTGCAATCGATACAACATGCTTGGCAAACAAATTTGAAATCCCCCTGATTTCATTTGTTGGCGTAAATCATCATGGAAAATCAGTTTTGTTGGGCTGCGGCTTCCATGGGCAAGAGTCAGCGGAAATTTTTGTTTGGATGCTCAGGGCGTGGCTCAAATGCATGCTCGGGGGCCCTCCACATGTCTTCATTACCGATCAATGCAAGCCCCTGCAAAATGCAGTGTCTGAGGTTATCCCGAATGCTCGCCATTGCTTTTGTTTGTGGGATATCAAGCAGAGAGTTCCAGAGAAATTGGGAGGGCTGAGGGGATACAACGAAATCAAGAGACAATTACACAACTCAGTCTATAATTCCTTGAAGATGGCTTCAGACATTGTATGAAGATCGGCAGATGTGGGTTCCAGTGTACGTAAAAGACACATTTTTCGCAGGAATGATCCCTATCCGAGAAAACGAGAGCTTGACTCCATTTTTTGATGGTTATGTACATACGCATATGTCGTTTAAGGAATTTGTTGATAAGTACGATCTAGCGCTACATAGGAAGCGCATCAAAGAGGTGGCGGCAGATGTGGAGTCGAGAAGTTCAATCGTTGAACTAAAAACGAGATGTAATTTCGAAGAACAGCTACGGAAGGTATATACGAGGTTGAGGGCATGCACTCCTGTTTCAACACAAGGCAGGTGAATGTGAACGGGCCTATGCTAACCTACATAGTCAAGGAACGGGTTGAAGTTGAAGGAAACGAGAAGGAAGTCAGATGCAATGAGGTTTTGTACGAAACAACACAGGTCGATATCCGATGCATCTGCAGTTTGTTCAACTACAAACGTTATCTATGCAGGCATACGTTGAACGTTCTTAATTATAACGGCGTGGAAGAAGTCCCATCGCGCTACATTCTGCCGCGTTGGAGTAAAGATTTCAAGTCCAGGTATCTTCTCCATCACGGCTCCAGTAATATCAATATGTATAACCCAGTGTACTGGTATAATCATCTCTATAAACTTGCCCTTCCCGTTGCGGAAGAAGGGGCACAATCGGAAGAACATTATAAGACTACCTTACAAGCATTGGTGGAGTTATTAAACAAGCTTCATCTTGTAGAGGATATCCAAGTGTGACATACAACGGTATGTAGAAATATCCTCTTGAAAGATGACTCTGCTGTTTCTTTTCAATTGCATTCATATGCTCACTCACGAACAAAGCTCTTCGGTCTATTAATCGAATTCATAATGCACGAAAGAACTAGATAAATAAGACCAGCCATAAATATAATAAGCTCATCAAGCTATAGTTTTCAAGAAACATACAACCTTGCGGCCAAAAGATAAAAAAGAAAATACAAGCCCAACCAGTTCAAAACTCCCACGGACTACACACACAAATGAGCGATTTGAAATCACATAAACACAAGAATCTCACAACTTACGTCAGTGGAAGTTCAATTTGAAAAATCTCATATACCCAGATGAGGAAGAAAACGAAGAGAAAGCACGTTCCAATCTCACTTGTTTGTCATTCACTACTTCAAGCAGGAGGGTAGTGCGAGGCCATGGCAAACGAAAGCCAGCACAACATAAATTACTATTAGCACAAGGAATATCAATGCAACCCTGCAAAATTCAAAGCACTTAGGTAACTTGCCAGAAAATTTACGATAAACTGAAGTTTGAATACGTAGTTGAATTGACTTGACAGTCAAGCAATCTAATATGCCAGAGTGTCAGATATAAAACATTACCCGTCACACAAAAGTATAAAACGCTCTTGCCAGCCAATCTAACACAAACTGTGGTTTGTATACATAGCTGAATTGACGGTCTAGTCTAGCAACATAACATTCCATACCGGCTGACATAAAAGCATCACGGTTGCATAAAACACTCGTGCCAGACAATAGCACAAACTGTGGGTTGAATACATAGTTGAATTGACAGTCTAGCAACGTAACAATTACATAAAACACTCTTGCCAGATAATCAAACGCAAACTATGGTTTGAATACATAGATGAATTGACAGTACAGTAATGTGACTGTCTGACATGAAAATGTAACCATTGCACAAAGTACACACAACTCTTTCAAATCATAAGATGAAAAGAAACGAAAATTGATAATTTCGAAGTTTCTGTAGCTATTGAATTGAGGTTTGAGCTTAGAAAACATACGTGAGCTTAACATTTCTCCACCACACAGTGCTTCTGAAACGGCGAGCTTGCTTTCTGAACCGGAAGGTATTGCCTTGCATATTAGCAGTTTTATCAACCAGCAACTCCAAGCGATCCCCTCTTTCCAAAACTTTGTCAATGTTCTCAATCATAACATTTCGCACCTACAAATCCGAAAACTGAATAAGAAATCAAACCGCAATCAATACGAAAAAGAACAAACAAATTGGAACCAAATTCCACAATTGAACTCGATCAGTTGGTGACAAATTGACATCTTTTTACCTGGCTCATTTCGCCTTTGAGTCGATTGATCCTATCGGCATTAGGATCATTGGAGTAATACTCCATCTGCTGGCTCAAAACCCTAGAAAACTCATCGTTCATGCCGTAAGCCTGGGCCGAATGAACAGCGCGGCCGTAGGTCCTCACGAACCTCTGATGAATGTCTTCAAGAAAAGCGAATGGCATTCTCCCTGCACAAAAAAATCGAACAAAATAAAAAAAAAAAGAAATTTGGAGAGGGGAATTGAGAATTGGGTCAAACAAAACGACGACGTACGGGCGGCGGTCTCGTCGGCCATACAGAGGACGGTGAGGCCATCGGTGCGCTTGACGTGGAAGATGTAGCGATCTTGAGAGTAGGAGACGTGGGTGTCGCTGTCTCCGGGGATTTTTTCGAGAATTTGCCTGGAGATTGTGCTCGCGTTCGTCGACGTGCCGCTGAACTCCGCCAGCACCACCGATCCTCGTGCTACCAGCGCGTACAGTATCGCCATCTCTCCACCACCACAACCACCGCCAAGATCAGCTCAAATCTCTCTCTAAAAAATTATGGTGAGCTCGCGACGTCGACCGATTTTGTCGTAACTGAATCAGCGATCTTCGAAAACGAAAGTCAAGAACTTTCACACACACACACTCTCTGTAAACTCTGTTTTATTTTATTTATTTATATTTTTCGGCGGAAATTGGTGAAATTCTGGTTGTTTAAACTTTATAGAGCCGGTTCGATACGGTTACTTTATTAAATTTTTTGTACCAATTATCGTATTACATTTTTGATTTGGCAAAATTTATTACCATTACCGTATCAAACTTTTCGTATACTGAAGTTCGGTATTGCTAAATAGTTCGGTTGATATGGTATGTCAATGATAATTACCACTTTAATGGAACAAAATCTGTTTTGTTTTTTTAACCCAATTCAAGGGCAAAACTTTTTTTTTTTGCACCTTTATCTCATACATTGTAGCCTAAAATCATCTATTATTCATCATTTGTAATTCACACACACAATAATTCAAATGATACATCAAGATTCATAATGAAAATTAAGCTTACAATCCAAACAGAAGTTACGAACCAAAACAAATAGAAGTTAACAATTCAAATAGAAGTCAAAGTTTCAAACCAAATGAAATTGGAACTAAACTTCAAAAAGTAAAATTCATTAATCAATTCTTCAAGCTTGAGATGTTGAAGCTTTTGGAGGAGGCATTGAACTTGTAGAAGATTGAGTTTGTGTCAAGTCTACATTACAAACAAAGAAAAGATATTAGTAGCAAGAAGAATTAAAGTTGAAAACCATTTAATAAATAATTTACTAAAAAAATCAAAGCATATCTTACTTGTTTTCACTTCTTCCATTTCCTTGTAAAATTGAAGCATATCTTCCGTTGGTTCCTTGTAGAAGTTTACTTCATCCGCCCTAAGTCAATAGCTAGTACACACTAGTGCATCTACCATTTTAGGAGTCAAGGATGCCCTAAAAGGGTCCACAACCCTCCTCCCTAAGTTAAATGCATTTTCACTAGCAATGGTAGAAGTGGGGATTGCAAAGATATCCTTGGTTATTTGTGAAAGAATTGGAAACTCTTTTATGTTTGATTTCCAGCAACTCAAAAGATCAAAGTCACCAACAACAATGCTAATATAAGTAGAGTTTTTTTTTTCTTTCTAATTATAGAAAGTTTGGAGTGCAAAATGAGATTTTTGGAGTACCAATAATAATTTCTTATTATAAATGTGTGTTACATAATTATATATTATATTATATTTTCGGTACGGTATGGTAATACCGTGGTAATGGTATCCATTACCAATACCGTGCCATAAAATTTGGTACGGTACAATACCATACCATTACCAATTGGCACAAAATCAGTATGACATGGTTGACAATTCGGTTGGCACGACAATGTGGTAAAAAAAACCCATTTTGTAGTGTTTGGCTAATAATTGGAATAATAAAACAGAAGATTCAACGAATGATATGTGAACTATTAAATTTTTTTTTTTAACAAACGATATTATTTACACTAAGAGAGTGGGGAATGAACTAAACTTCATAACGGGCTAGTAATAATGTGGTTCAATTCTCATTTGACGAGAATCAATTTACTTACCAGTGAAGAGAAATATCACTAGATCATAGTATTAAGTGGTGACTATCAATGATTTAAATTAATGAATTTGATGCTTGTCGAACCTTAGTATCTGAAGCCTAAGGACAAGGACATTTGGTCCTTAGTTTGTGTGAGAAAAATTGGAGCGCTTGGTTTGTATAAGGCGGACCAGCAGAAGTAAATGAAACATTCAAATTTAATTTGAGTGGTCTAAATTGCACTATCCTTAAGCTCCGAACAGTAAAATTTGTGATGAATATTTGTCCTAAAATCATCTTAAAAGACTTGCTATACATAGCGGTTGTCCAACTTTATGCGGATGAATGTATACTGTTGATTGAGTGAGTCAATACAAACGCCTAGAAATTTCCATTGGCCATGCCTTTTGGAGGTTTGGTCCTACCTCACAATGAGTACTTGTTTGGCGGTCATGACTAATGCTAATAACATTTCAGATAACCAAATTACTTGTCACTTCGAACTATAGTTAGTGATATTTTTCTTCACTTAATAAGTGAGAGATCACAAATTCTAATGTCGTGAATGATAAATTAGATACTAATCTATTTTTCCTGCTCGTAGCGTAAATATATCATCGAGAGCCCCGTATTGCCTTTGAATTAGGATAATAGGACTGAGAGACCTAGGGGTGCAAGTAAGAGTGGTGTTTCCGATTCCAACAATAAAATTTTCGAATTTGAATACTTTCTAAAAAAATTAGAATGGAAATTGGAATGCATTAACATATTCTGAAAATTCTGAATTTTTCTTTAATTGTTCCAAACTTATCCTAATAAAAAAAATCTGAAATATTATGATTCTTTATACTTATTTACTCAAATTATATATTTGTAACCAACTTTTGTATTTTATTATGAGTTTTAGATGCATTTTGTTCATTATTTTTATATTAAACATACACTTACATATTAAAAAGGATAAGCATACTTTGCTATTAAATATATGAATTCCGAATCATGTTTTGAAATTTTGAAATTTAAAATTTGTGATCCGATCTAATTCTAAAATTTTGGAACAAAATTGAAAATGTTTTTTCTGTTTCGAAAAACACTCGTAGAGAGACCTGTACGAATGAATAATACTATTTATCTTTCAATAAATAATAAGCAACAACACGAATTAAAATTGATTTAATTAAGCCACTTCGTATAAATATATAATTGTGTAAAATAATTATTTAATTATTTTCACAAAAAATTTACTTAATTAAACAGAAAAAAAAGTTTATTTATTTATTTGTGTGTTTCTCTAGTTAATTACACATCAATAAATAATCACAAAATGGAAAAATAGGTAAGAAAAGTTAAGTTTGAAACGTCTGGGCGGCCAGCTCATGGTTGACTCTCACTGGCCCAATTCCAAGCGGAAAGGCGGGTCTGTGAATGTCATGGTCCCATCCCATGGCTTTATATTTCTCCCTGGCTGTCAAATAACCCGCGCATGCCCCATCCAAAAGGTCTTCAGCACCCTCTACAGTGTAGATATTTTATGTAAGATGTTCTTTTATAAAACGATATATTTTCGCTAAGAGATTTTAAAAATTGACTTTAGCAGCTCTTTTACGAACTTACAACCAAAAGTCTCTCTCTTAGGCTTTTCTTAATGAAAAATACCCCCAAATTACTGTTAGCTTCATACCATCGACAGATAAAAGTAAGTAAATACTTCGTAAGACCAAATATTCTTGCATTTTAAAATCATTCATGTGTCACTTAATACTACGGTCTACTGATATTCCTCTTCAATGATAAGTGAAAGGTCTTAAGTTCGATTCTCGTTAAAGGTAAATTTGAACAACATTATTGCTAGCCTATTGTGAGGGTTTAGGCCACTCTCTCCTT